ACACACACAGAGAGAGAGAGAGAGAGAGAGAGAGAGAGAGAGAGAGAGAGAGAGAGAGAGAGAGAGAGAGAGGCGGCACGTTCGGATCGTGAAACCTGCAAAGGTGAGAGCAGAAATTGCGTGCCGGTTCTGTTTGGCTGTGCGTGGGTTTCTTTCATGTGGGGTTCTGCGTGCTCTTCTTCGCGGGCTCTTGACTTTCCACTGTTTCCGCCCATCTCCTTTTGTTTTTTCCTCTTTCCTTTTGTTAACTGATCGGACGCTGCACTTGATCTCGTTAGCAAAGTGCGTAAGAATTGAAATTTAAAAAAAAAAAAAAAATAGAGAAAAAGGGTTGAGAGAGGTGTACTCCTCCCTCGTCGCCATCGTTATCGTCGTTGTCCTCCTCCTCCTCCTCCTCCTCCTCCTCCTCCTCCGCCCCCTCCTCTTCTCGCGCCAATAGACCTCGATCCACCGTTCGCCTAATATGGTGGGAAATTAAATAAGCTAGCTAAAATATTTTTCCACCTTTTACCTGAAGATCGAGTGCCCCCATTTTACAGTACACATTTGGTCAGTAGCCCAGAGGGGCCCAGTGTACGAGTCTTTTTTCTGTTTTCTTTTGTATAAATATCAAATGCGTGAGGTTCACGACTGATTCTTCTCCCGGACTTTCTATACCTCATCTTCTTCTTTCCCCTCCGTTCTCAACCGCCCCGCCCCCGCCCCCGCCCCCGCCCCCGCCCCCGCCCCCTTTTCTCCCTTCCCCAGATCACCACTCGTTCTCCTCTTTCCTCCTCTAGGTCGTCATCTTTTCTCCCGCTCCTCCTTCTCTGTTCCGGTTTTCTTTGAGATTTTCCCTGGCACGTGCTGCGCTGAAGGCCGCACGCGCCCTCCTTTCGTTGTGAAATTCAGCCGCACGCGCCCTCCTTTCGTTGTGAAATTCTTCTTTCCTTTCTTTCCTTCTTTCCTTCTTTCCTTCTTTCTTTCTTTCTTTTCTTTTCTTTTCTTTCTTTAGACTCCTTCCTACCCCGCTGGTTTTGAAAGCCAGGTGTCTGCGTGTCAGTCAGGTAGCTCGGGACATGGAGCAGCTCTTCGTCTTCTTCTTCTTCTTCTTGTGCCGCAAGGCGGATCTGGGGAGAAGCCCCCTGAGGAGTGAGTGCCAGGAGCGCAGCAGGCTGATTGGCCGAAACGCGTCGGGGAAATTGATTTGCGCGTTTTTTCTGAGAACTGTACATGAGGAGAAGAAATGTAAATCTGTTGATGCGTGTACGAGAAGCAGTCTATGGCCACTGTTTTCACTATTCTTCTTCTTCCGCCCCCTACTCCTGCTCCTCCATTTCCTCCTCGCTCTCCTACTTACCCTGTCTGCCCGAGTTCCGCCGTTGCCCGACCTTTCTCCCGCATGACGGAGCCAGGAGCCCTTAGACCCTTGTAGTCTTTTTTTCTTCTTCTTCTTAGTACATGCATACTGTGTGCAAGTACGACTACTTAGTACCACTTGGTACTCAGCACTACTAAGTACTTACCATTACTAAGTTCTAGTAGCACTAATACCTACTAGTAGTAGTACTAATACTAGTAGTCTAGTACTAGTAGGACTAGTANACTAAGTACTTACCATTACTAAGTTCTAGTAGCACTAATACCTACTAGTAGTAGTACTAATACTAGTAGTCTAGTACTAGTAGGACTAGTATTGCGATTACTGAAAAACGAAAAAAAAAGCAATTAACCGAAAAATAAAACACTAGATAATAGTAATAATACTAGTAAGCATGATGATGACAATGATGATGATGATGATGATGATGATAACGATACCAATAAGAAGGGGTGCTAAGGAGTTAAAAGTGGGAAGGCCAAAGCGAGCGATCCGCCCAAGGTTGTCGAGAGACATAAAAAATAGGGAATGGGAATGCATGCGGACGCTATGAGGGGTCCAGGTGCCGCTCATGCATCTGTTTATTTGCTTGAGTCAAATATATCGACTGGCCTACTTTCCTCTCGCCCACCTAGTATGCACTAGTATGCAGGACGACTTGCCCATGGAATTCCCTCCTCCTCGTCCTCCTCTTCCTCCTCCTCCTCCTCCGACGACAACTGCTGCAGCTCCTACTGCTTCTACTACTACGAGCACCGCTATTACTTCTACGCTCCTGCAGCTACTGCTAGTAAAAATTTTACTCTTACTGCTGCAGTTTTACTATTCCTGTTACTGTTTTACCACTACCTCTACTAAGAGTATTACTGCAATAGTTGCAGCAGTAGCAGTAGCAGTAGCAGTAGCAGGGAAATTCATGTTGACGATTTCAAACTGACTATGGATTGACTATTATTACTACGGAGCACAGCAATGGACATAGTCGTAACAACAACGCTGCTGCTGATAATGATGATGACGATGACGAAAGGAGCTTCCGGATTGGGATAGGTGTTAACTTTTTGTTGAAATGGCCAGGTACAAGGAATGAATGTTGCCGTGCAGATGCACAGACCCTGATCTGCTCTGAGTGGGAGCTGAATGTGTGACCAGGTACGGTGTTCCGTGATTGGCATACCGATCCTCGCGGATGTTGAAAGGGGACAGACAGTAGGGAATTTTCTTTCTTCCTAATACTATTAGTACTAAGTAATACTATTAATATACTAATAATACGAATACTATTAATACTAGTACTACTAATGCTAGTACTATTAATACTAGTACTATTAATACTAACAACAACAACAACAACAACAACAACAACAACAACAAATGTCAACAACAACAACCACAATAATAATAATAATAATAATAATAATAATAATAATAATAATAATAATGGGAAGAAAGGAGATGGAGAAGAAGAAGAAGAAGAAAAGACAAAGAACACAAAAGAAAGAAAGGAGCAGCACCTGCATGAACACGAAGAAAGAAAGAAAGAAGACATGAAAAAGAAGAAGCAGAAGCGCGGTAATGAAAACAGTGGCCATAGACTGCTTCTCGTACAAGCATCAACGGATTGGCACTACTGCTCCGCATGTACAATTCTCAGCATGAAAAAAATAAATAAATAATAATAATAATAATAATAATAAGAAGAAGAAGAAGGGAGGAGGGAAGTGTTGCAAAGGATGCCGGCCCCAAGTGTAAATATGAGCTTCCTTCTCTCTCTTTCTGCTTTTTCGTTTCTCTTCTGCTTTTCTCTCTCTCTCTCTCTCTCTCTCTCTCTCTCTCTCTCTCTCTCTCTCTCTCTGTTCCTTTTCTTTTTCGTTTTTTCTTACTAAATTTCTTAGAAGGCCTCTCCGTTTATGTCCTCCGTACGCTGGTAAAAACCACCCGGAAAAAAAAAAAAAAAAAGGGAGGCGCATTTGGGGAGCAGCTGTGTTCTTGTATAGAATAGAAATACTATAATGACCAAAAAAAAAGGCCTGAAAGGCCGTGCTGTCCAGATTCGACAG